GAGCATTCTGTGCCCCACTGACTGTCAGGAGCAGAGCTGCAGCAAATCTGGAGGGACATACTCCGTCTCCCATGTGCTCTGGGATTTTAAGAATGGCTGTGAAGAGCCATTCTTCAGCCTCTGCACGACCCACTGCTGCCTGTGGCTGGATGGTGAATCTTTGAGGGGACGTTTCTCTTCCCAGGGATCTGGACCCACGTTCTGTCCTCACAAGAGCCCTTTGATGGCCTGGCGCCTCCACAGGCAGCAACCTCAGAGACTGAACGCAAACATAACAGGGAGAGAGGAGCCTGTTTGCAGCTTCCATGCATGTGGGCATGTGCTGATTTGTATGTTTTCTTTCCTTTTGTTCTTTTTTTGTTTTTTTTTTTGTTGTTGTCATTGTTGTTGTTGTTGTTGCTGTTGCTGTTGTTTTGTTTTTTTGAGACAGGGTTTCTAGGTAACCTTGGAGCCTGTCCTGGAATTTACTCTGCAGACCAGGCTGGCCTTGAACTCAGAGATCCATCTGCCTCTGCCTCTGCCTCTGCCTCCCAAGTGCTGGGATTAAAGGCGTGCACCACCACTGACAGCTGTATATTCTTTTTTTTTTATGGTGCTTTTATTATTTCATTTGAGAGTGTGTAAGTGTGTGGGTATACACATGCCAAGGCACACATGGAGAGGTCAGAGGTCAACCTAAGAAAGTTGGCTCTCTCCTTCTACCCATGTAGTCTCAGCCTAGGCCAGACAGACCTGCAGCCTGGGATGATGGACATTCATGGGTAGAAAAAGCCCCAGAGAATTTGGCCACTTCCTTGGCTTAGAGGGCAGCTGAGAAGAACCACAGACCACAGACTCAGCCACGTCAGACACTTGCAACCAGAACCAGGCCACCTGTCTGCGCTTTCCAAGACAGACAAAGAGAAGTTTCCACGGAAAGCAAAGTGGAGCCAGCGGGAAAGGCTGCGAGCAGATGAGGACATGAAACGCTGGGACCAGGTGAGACTTTAGCACACACAGCAGTGACAGCAGCCAGGAGTGGTCACCTGCTCCAAGACCAACAGTAAGCCAGTAAGCACAGAGCAGGCTTTATGTCCATGATACTCACCAAGACACAAGAAAGAGACTCTGTAGGCATCTGCAGTCAGATGAGGTAAGGGGTCCCTTAGCCCCCAGACATTATGCCTCTCATAGAGGACGGGCAGCTCTCAATCCTGGTACAGCCTGTGCAATGGCTCTGCTCTCAGCAAGGTTTCTCTACCACAGAATGATTGACACGGGGCCGGAGGGGTCCAGATAGGGACACTTTGCTGTGTACTGTAGAATAATCAATAGCATCCCATCCTCGCCATGGACACCGGTAGCTCCCACCAGGTGTCACGACCCAAATGCATTCCCATGTTGACAGGCGTCCTGTCAGAAGTGGGACAAGGGTGCAATCAGCCGGCTGAGAGCTATGCTTAAATCACTGTTATGTACTTGAGCCCCAGGGAGTGCTAGGGGCCAGGAAGGCACAGCAATGTGGAGTGGCGTCATCACGTGGAACAGAAAGGAGTGAGTGTGTGGAAATGTCAGGCAGAACACAGCCGAAGCCGGAGAATAAAGACAGAGAGGATTCGGTATCACTGCCGCTTAGCCACGGCGGGTGTTTATTTAATAGATACAAGTGCTTATAAATATCTGTGACCCTGTTGTCTTGGGCTAAGCTCTCTGGAAGAGAGGTGGTAAGTAGTGTCTGCATGGATTTGTTACAGCCGAGGCGAAGAGCAAGCGGCAGCTCAATAAATAACCTTGGTGACAGTGGAGACTGATGTGGCTGGGACAGGCTGCCAGTACACAGTGCTCCAAGGCCATCTTCTGCAAAACCACCCCCGGGTCTCCCTCCCACGTCTCACCCACAGGCCCCGGCACACCCTCACACAGAGAACCCACCTCCAAAGATGCTGGCTTCCTTCCCAGATGGAGCCTGGGTGTGTGAGCAGGAAAAGGCCCTAACAAGCTCACAGACTAGGCCATCCCTGAAGTTTAACTGGCACTCAGTTCCTTGAAGGCAGAGGCCCACGCCCACTTTCCAGCAGCCCAGACCACAGCTGGAACCACAAAACCAAAGCTTTTAGGGAGCTTCCCTATGCTGTGACAAACCACACCCAGAAACAAACTCACAGAGAAGCAGGGTTTGCTTCGGCTTCTAGTCTCAGGGCATCCGATCTGCAAGCACCTTGGCATGTTGATGTGGAGCTTGTGGTGAGACAACTTGTCATTTGTATACAGCTCATGACAGAGGAAACCCCTCCTCCAGGAAGATAAGAAGAGAGGGAAGCAGCTGAGGCCCCCAGCTCCCCTCAAGGGCAGGTTCCCAAGGACCCAGTGTTCTCTGCAGGCTCCTGGGGACGGTGCTCATTCCCCAGCAGGCAAGGGCATCTGTGCAGGGCCGGAGACTTTAGGGACAATCTAATCAGTCTGCATCATATTTCTTCAACACCGGTGTGGCTTTTGTTTCCGAAAACTTCCACTGGGACTCAGGGCTATTCGTTCCTGCCTTGACGTCTTGTGACCAGAATTTCCTCCTAGCGCTGAGACCATGTGCACAAGCTGTTGCTTAGACTGGGGAATTCTGAGCTAGCAGATACACAGAGCAAAGCATATATGCACGGTGGATGTTCTCACCTTCTATAGTGTAAGAGAGGACGAGGCCACCAGGATTTCCATGTGTGCATGTCCTCTGGTTCTGCAGTGAAAGTGACAAATCCAGTAACATTGAGAGTCAATGTCTCAAGCAGTTTGACAGATTGTTAGGAGCCATTAAGGAGCTTGCACCGGGGAGGAGTCTGTAGGAGGGAGCGGTGTGAACTAGGCCTCTCTGAGTGGACTACCATGGTGCAGAGATCAGGGGCTGTCTGCGCTGCTATTGCTGCTAAATCAGGGCAAACAAGCCCAGATGAATACTCTGCCGTCCTACCCCTATTATTTTTCTGTCTTGCCAATTTAGTTGGGGAGCCGGAGCAAGAGTTAACAACTACCTCTTTTCAGAATGGGAGGGTGAGCGCAGGTAACGCCGGAACAGATTATTAAGAAGGTGTTGAATTATCTGTGGCTGGGAGCTAGCCCGTGAATAATGATTCAGGCTCCCACCCCAGGTCCAACCCTTCCTGGACTGCAGAACCAGGCTGCTGGAGAGGCTGTGGGTGGGGAGGGTCTGTGGAAGACAGTCCACACCCTGACTCTCCCCACCTTCCAGAAGGCGAGTGTTTCATGGGAACTTGCCCTGCCCAACATCAGCCTGGCCACTTTCTTCTTCCCTGCGGGACACAGGGAATTTCTACATCGCTCTGGACAGTCATCAGTAACAGGGTCATTAAAGGCAAGAGGGGCGGAGAGAGCTGTCTGCCAGCCTCCTCCATTACATCCAGGGATATTGGCGCATCTCTAATTAAGATCCGGAGGCTTGGGTTCCAACTGATGAGGCACTCCATTCCAACGGCACAGTCAAGAGTGCTCCGGGGCAGCGTTAATGCAGTGAGCAGGGTAATGGCTTGTGTAATTCCAATGAGGATTTCTGGTCACACTCAATGCTGAAGGTTAACCAGTGCCACCCAGAGAAGGAGCCTGGGCCTGGGTGTGCTGCTGGATTGTCATTGCTCTGTCGATGAAGAGACAGTTCTGGAAGCCTAGCTAAGGAATCTGCCTACTTCTAGGCCACCCCAGGAAGCCAGGACTTGGACCTCCTCTTGTTAAACTAATGTAACAACATTTGGCTTTAAGCTCAGGGACTTGCAACAACCCACAGTCCCGAATGGATTCACTCTGGGGAAAAACAAAGAAACTGATCATGTTTAGAGAAAATGGACGGCAAAGTAATTCCCCAGGGAAATCACATTGTTTTATTTTTCATTCATTTAGAAGTTCGGAGAAAACATTTTGACATTTGCTGATTGTTGCAGGATTCCCCGAGGACCAAAGCCTGCGTGCATTAATTTTATATTCTCAGCTGAGAAACTCACATCTGATATGAGTTGGGGGTGGAGGAGGGGGAAGACCTGGAATGCTTAGGTTCCTGCGACTTCAAGGATTTCTTTGATTTAGAAGTCAAGGAAACCAGAATTTCCCAGAGCAGACAAGAAAGAGAAAAGGGGAAGTTAGGAGAGGGACTGGGCTGGGATCCTTTAGGATGTCTGGGATTGCAAGGAGCCCACAAGGCGCCCACGAGCCGGTTCACAGGCTTACCTGCCTGTCTGCAGTTGGCAGGCCCTGTCCACTGGATATCTGGGTCCTCTGCAATTGCTCCTCCTTCTGCCCTGTTTCAGGACAGTCATGATCTATGGAATCAAAGAGCCTCCTGGGGCTTATAAACTGTCCTTCCACGTGGCTTCTGGCAATGGCTAGATGGGATGTCATTTGCTGGCATTAGGTGACAGGCTAGTGTTGATACCAGAGCTGGCAGCTTGACCTGGGCATCAAAGAATAATCTAGTAAAACTCTCACCTGATCCGGAGACACAGTCAGGCCAGGCAGCCTTAAAAATCTCTGGCACACCATATTCTAGACTTCCAGGCTAGATATTCATTGGCTGAATTGAAGGGCACTGCTGTGAACCATTTTTTAAACATATATTTCTTAAAATTTAGTAAAAGGCGTACTAAATCCTTGTACCCTGAAAAGCATTGCCTGTTTGGAAAAAAAAAAGTACACATACACACACATATATATAGTCTAAATTATATATATTTATGCATATTCTAAATTATATATTTATGTATATTTAGAATTAAATATAAATTCTGAATATATAAATTTATATATTATGTATATTGGGAATTATATAAATTCTGAATTCTATATTTATATATAACTATATATGTATATATACACATATATATAAAGTTTATAAGAAAAATAACATTGAGAGCTGGAAATCTTCCTTTATGGGCTAAAGCAACTCACTAAGGTAGCTTATGATGGTTCTAAATAATTGAAGCCGTAAAGAGGCATTAAAGGGTAAGAGCCTCCCCTGCCACTCTGCCCTGCACCCCTAGCGTCCCCTAGGAAGATTCACCAACGCTTTGTGGCTGAAGTTATAAAAGCTGTACTTTTGTCACATGAGAAAAAGTAACTTTAATAAGTAATTTTAAATTTTAATAAAGTAACCAAGGAAGCAAGCAATAGAGCAGGGGGGAAGGAAATCTTGATAAAATTATCCCAATGAACAAGGCCGCTGCAAGGCTGGCTCTAAACCCCCAGGGACGGCAGGCAGGCAGCTTCTCAACCTCTGTCAGCAGAAGGCTCCTGCCTGCTGTCGTGGCCGTAGATCTGGCTTCCACATGGAGCATGGCTGTGATGGGAGAAAATTAGAGGGGCCTCTTGCCACACGGGTGGATAGAAAAGATGCTGAAGGAGAAAAGGAGTCCGGCCAAAGTGGAAGAGGCGGGCAGATCTGAAGAGGGCGTTTCTAGTGGGGTGGCCAGTAGGGTCAAAGGGAACATCTCCTACAGCAGGATTCTCGGGGGGATTGTGGGGTGGGGCATATTCCAGGTCCATCCCTCCCCAACAGCGCAAGTGCCCGTCTCTCTCAGGAAGCAGACGATGGACACCTCAGGGCTCTTCCTGCCTGGTGTTGATAGAAACAAAACAGATAAGGGACCTGGGAAGGAGGGAAAGGCGTGGGTACCTCAGAGTCCCCTCTCAGTAGGGCTTGGTGACCTGACAAGGTCAAGGAAGGTGCTGTGAGCCACAGTCTTTGGTGTCCCAGCTTTGCAATTCAGTGCAGAGCGCAGGCAACCTTGAATAATCACGTGAGCCCTCTCACACTGGACTTGCAGTCTGGCCCAGGTCACAAGTCCCACATTCATGGACAAGGTCCTGCTGCCAGCTGTCACTAGGAGGCCGCAGAGCAGAGGTCCTGTCCAGAGCCCACAGCCTCCCTTTCCAGCTGCCACTTTCTAAGGAGTTACTATGAAACGGATACAGGGCTTCGGGGTTTCACCAATTCCCTTAAGGGAAAAAGCTACTTGCTAAAGAGGTTGCTGCTGAGAACCAAGAGCTGAAGACAAGAGGGGAGGAAAGAGGCATATTCAGAGAGGAAGAAAGAAACAAAGAAGCTGAAACAGAGAGGACAGACAGAAGGGGAGAGGGGGGACAGGCTCCACAGACGGGGAGAGGTTTCCAGAGACACAGGAAGATGCCAAAGGAGACAGAGAGGGAGGGAGGGGGAGAGGGAGAGGGGAAGAGAGAGAGAGAGAGAGAGAGAGAGAGAGAGAGAGAGCGCAAAGTGACTCCAGACTCTGCCCTCTCCAGTCTCACTTTGAGCCCTTCCTGAGAGGGTGTAAGAAGTGGGTTATGGGACAAATCTCCAAATCTTTAAGGGATTTTGTGATTTGACTTTCTGCTAGGAGAATTTGATCAGCAGCCCGGGCAGGTAGCCATTACTAGCCATTCACTCCAGCTCTGCAGTACCTCCTCCCCTCCCAGCCCACAGGCTCCACACCTCACACAGGGGCAGGACAATAGCAAATGATTCCAGAGTTGTATCCAGCTCCAAAGCCAGCCCTCAGAGCCGTGAGGAGGGAGGATCGCACAGTCTCCACACGGAAGGGTCGGGTGAATGCACGTTGTAAGGAGAGGAAGCATACACTCTGGGCTCCCTCTGCAGCTGCAGCAAGTCCCCATGGCATTCAGGAGGAAGCTGAGGTTGAGGTTGTCCTTGGATTCCTTACCTATAGGGAGGGACCACATTATCTCTAAGGGTGGAATACGGGCTTTGATTTCCGTGACAACTTATTGACAACACTCCCTTCTGGAAATCAGCTCCTCCCACATTGCCGGACACCTGAAGGCTCACTTCTCTCTCAGGTAAGTGTGCTCCACAGAATGAACATTGGATGTTTTGCACTGCTGTCGAGCGGACCCTCAGGATGAACTTAATTATAGCCACACCCAAAGGTCTCTCCACTGGCTGCTCCCACACACCCTGGTGCATGACCCTCTTGTCAGGCAAGTATTGCTTGAGCATGCTGACATGGTCGAGCAAGAACAGCAACACACACCTCAAGCCTCCCACAGGTCTAGCAGGTTGAGTTTGTATAAGAAAATCCACACCACGCACGACTATCTGTTGGATGCAGTAGTAGCGGTGGGTCACTGGGGATCACCTGGTTACTTACTGGCTTCTCCTGTACAAGAGCTCCATCTGAGACTGTGGAGGGTCCTGGGAACAGACCTGGTAGTCTTTCTGGAAGAAGTGGTTCAGGTACCTCCCCTCTTCTACAGTCTCCACAGAGCACTCCCTTAGCCTGGTCAGGCTACCTGGCAGGTTCCTAGATGCAGACCTGATGCGGTCCACTGGGGCCAGCCTTGATGTGGGAGTGATTTCTTATTAATAAAGAAACTGCCTTGGCCCATTTTATTGGATAGAAAATTAGGTAGGCGGAGTAGACAGAGGAGAATGCTGGGAAAAAGAAGCTGTGTGAGGAGTCGCCATGGTTCTCCCGTTCCAGACAGACGCAGGTTAAGATCCTCCCTGGTAAGCCAGCTCGTGGGCTACACAGAATATTAGAAATGGGTTAGAACAATATGTAAGAGCTAGCCATAAGGAACTGGAACTATCCGGGCCAGGCAGTGTTTGAAAGAATACAGTTTCCGTGTAATTATTTCTGGGCATAAGCTAGCCATGCGGGCGGCCGGGTGCCGGGGACGCAGCCCTGCCGCCGCTCCTATTTCAACAGATGGCGCCCAGACGTGATGGCTAAATCCACTTAAAAACCTGAGAAGGCTTAAAAATAAGGGAGAGAGAGTTTAACACAGATTTTTGCTGTTTTGTTGGTGGCGTTCTGTAGAGAGATTCCTGATTCAGCAACAGCAGCAGAGAAAAAAAGCTGCGTCATTTTAAAGCACGGCTTCCTGGTGCTGTACTGCCAGCGTGAACTCTGGCTTTAAAGCATTTCAAGGCTTTTATGGGACTGGATGTTTGTGTTCCCGCTTGGGATCGGAGGAGAGTGCTCTGAGACCGTGCCGATGGCTCAGCGCTCCCCGCCTGCACCTGGGCAGAAGGCAGAATCAGGCTTAGGCAGGCGGAAGAGCATGGCGGATTCCTGCCGCCATACAGAGACGCGTTTTCAGACTGCGCAGTGCTCTGCGTGTCAGATTTGGCTGTAACTTGGATGAAAAGAGTTTCTGTGCTGCACACTCAGTCTCAGAATTAAACTGCTGATTGCGGCTCCAATGTGAACTGCTGTGTGCCTGGAACTGTGCTCAGCTCAGAAGCACCAAATGACTCTGAGGCAGGAGCGGCTGCTCCATGCTGAACTGTGCTGATCTCAGGCAGGAACTACCGTAATTACCTTAAAACCGTGCAGTTAAGGTTTAGACTGGGCAGGACACAGGCAGTACCGTATTACCTGTACATGGTGCAACTTAAGTTTTTAAGAAATGCTTAACATTTTAAGAAATGCTCCTGGATAGTAAAAAAATTACAGATTCACAATAAAACAGATTCAGACACTGTTGGATAAATGTACGTAGGCTTGGGAAAGAGAAGAAAAAGAATATAAAGAATAAAGTTAATGTCTTAAAAAGAAAAAGGGTAAAGTCTTTAAAGAGACAGAGTACAGAAGTACAGATAGTTATAGATTAAGAGAAATAAAGAAAAATAAGCCACGTAAAAATGGAAAATTCACAGAGAGTCTGGATTATGTACATTGTGTTTTCTTTAAAATTTTTGACTGTGAAGGAGCTAAGTACAGAGAGACATTTCATTATATGGGCTGCCAAGCTAAACCAAAATGGATTTCATGAGGGTATTATGATTTCAGAATTTGGGTCTAAGGATATGATGCTTTGGAGAGGGTCTTCTTTTGTTTTTGCAGAGGATGAGACCCTGTGGATTGCATCTATTCCGATTTGGTATGATAGACCACGCCCTCCTGAAAGGTTGCTGTGAATACCCTCAAAAAATTGCTTCGCTCAATTGCCAACTGAGATGAAACTAGCATACAGGTTATATCATGAACAACCTAATTAACGACGCCCCTATTCAGCAGGAAGCAGTTTGTAGAGAAAAAACTACGCCCATGTTCCCAAATATTGTTTATAAATGTTCTTTTACATTTAAAGGGGGATATGATATAGATATGAATAATTTGCATTGGTATGGATTTTATGGTCAATTTTGTTATATGTATATGTATTTTTGATCTTGATTAAGGTATTGTGATTGTGTAGTTCATTTAAAAATGTAATGTATAATTAGGAAATATAGGTTGTTAATGGATAATCATCGCTAATACTTAAGCTTGTAGTCATGTTAGTTAGATTTTCTAGATATATAGAGAGATATTTTAGTTAGATAGGCATTCTTCATATCTTTCAAAGGCTGCAGAATATGGCATTTAAGATATTTTAATAACTTAGGGTTTTTCATGACAATGAGACACATTTGCTCCTGGCAGCACCAATCTATTTCAAGAGGAAGATGGGCATCGAAGAGAATCCTTATGGAGTTTGATAGCCATTTGGGCAAGAAACTGCTCTTGCCTGGACTGTTGCATAAACTGGACACAGAGAACCCGCAGAGAGAGGACTGCTGAACTTGCCTAAAGGTGAGATGACCTTTTGGGGTTCCTGCTTCATGAAAGAGTCTGTGAGACATTCTGCAGGACACAGCAAAAAGTGACTGAACTGTCTTTGGAATTTCTTGCTTGATGAGAATGTCTGCTGGATACTATGGGCCTGTAGGCCGAAGATGGATGCCCCAACGGTACAGAGGAACTTTGGGTGACTGTCCAGGCAGCGAGATGTCTCTGTCATTTCTAGAGTTTTCTTATTTCTTGTTTGATAGGTAATATTATATCCTTCTGGAGTCTTTGATGGAGTTGAAGAATGGTTAGTTATAGTTTTCCTTAGTTATGATAAGAGATAAAATAGATATAAATATTGTAACTGTAATTCTTACTTGATAACTGTTTTGTTATATGTAATTTTACTATGTTAAAGTTAAAGCCTTTCTTTTTTGTTTAAACAGAAAAAGGGGAAATGATGTGGGAGTGATTTCTTATTAATAAAGAAACTGCCTTGGCCCATTTTATTGGATAGAAAATTAGGTAGGCGGAGTAGACAGAGGAGAATGCTGGGAAAAAGAAGCTGTGTGAGGAGTCGCCATGGTTCTCCCGCTCCAGACAGACGCAGGTTAAGATCCTCCCTGGTAAGCCAGCTCGTGGGCTACACAGAATATTAGAAATGGGTTAGAACAATATGTAAGAGCTAGCCATAAGGAACTGGAACTATCCGGGCCAGGCAGTGTTTGAAAGAATACAGTTTCCGTGTAATTATTTCTGGGTATAAGCTAGCCATGCGGGCGGCCGGGTGCCGGGGACGCAGCCCTGTCGCTCCTATTTCAACACAGCCTATGCCTGGGTTTATTTTGAGGAGGAGCAGAGCAGTGATGTCACAGTCCGTGTGTCCTGGGAGAGTAAGCACTCGGAGGAACTTCCCAGACCACCCCTGCCACAGGAGCCTTCAACTCTCCCCTCCCTGTGCTGAGTGGACATGGCTTTAAGCGGTTTCTGCACCTGAGCCACCGCTCTGCAGTCAGGGCCTCTTACTGTCTGTGTTTGTATCACCAGCCTGCCCCATGTACTGAGGGGTCACTCCTTCCTCTGTCTCCCAGCTTGGGTGAGAATCCCCCTCAAGGACTGTGGTTAGCACTCACATCCACAACCCCAGTTCATGGTGGGTAACAGGTAACGAGATGATAGAATAGGAGAGATTAGATTGCCCTGGGATAGGAAGAGGAATGTGAACACCCAGACCAGCCCATAGTGTGACTTGATTCTGCAGAGGGCTCCACCCGGTAGGAGCCTGCCAATGTGAGACACTGCGGCACTCACAGACAGACCTGGTTGGTCCTCAAGGCACGGCCCTTTCCAATATGGAGAAAGGAAAATATTGGCTTTACACATTAAGAGGCATGTTATTAAAGTTTTAAAGGCTAATATAAAATGGCGAGTCACTTATGCCCGGTCAGCGCTCTCGGAGATGACTTGTGATAATCCACTCCAGCGCCCCTCTCCGGGTCACTTGAGAGCCCCCCCCCCCCCCCCCCCCCCCCCCCCCCCCCCCCCCCCCCCCCCCCCCCCCCCCCCCCCCCCCCCCCCCCCCCCCCCCCCCCCCGCTGTACATCAGCTCTTCCCTGATGTGACAGCTCTCGTCCAGCCTCTGTATCTGATGCAGCCTCACGCTGCAGAAGCCCTGCAGGGTTCTGAATTGCACCACAGGCCATCCCTTACCTCTACAGATATGGGGCACCCACCCCAAACTTCTCAATCTCCTTAACTTCAAGACATAGAGACCAGAAGACTCTGAAGCAGCTGATTTGATGACAGCAGGTGAAGCCCTGTGCTCCCCCTTGGAGGGTTCTATTCCCTGTCACTTTCTAATATAAAGTTTCCTCGGGGACAGTGTCACAGGGTCTGTGGGTCAGTCCCCACCATGCCTGCCCATCTCTCTAATGAAAGTGGCCCACGGTCCTGCCCTCCTGCCCCTCGGATATTGGCTTCCCTAAGGGAGGGTCTCTGGGCAGCCATGCTTTCCCTATAACCACGTCCAGTTCACAAAAACAGAGGAGTAAGGACCCACTGTGGCCTCGCGTTGAACAGACCGGGTAAATAATAGAACAGGCAAGTAAGAGTCTGCCTTGCAGTGCTACACACTCAAGGTACATTTGGGAGAGACACCAAGTGTCAGCTCCGGAGAAGCCATCAGGCAGAGGTGTGCGGGTTAGGATGGTGGGAACTGAAGTGAAGAATGGGCTGTTTTAAGAAAGAGTCCAAGCCTGACCTCTGGAGTCACAGTCCAGGATGAGGAGGCTTCCCAGAGCCCCGGGGGTGACCTTGAACCTGCCAGAGCAGGAGGGCCAGGCTGGGGGCTGCTGTAGAGCCCCATTGATTGGTTTTCTGAGCGTGCGCATGTGACATGTCCTGTTCTAGACCACACTAAGATTTGATTAAAGTGCAATTCAAACCTCCCTCTTTGAAAATGGTTGACTTTGGAACTGTTTTCAATATTATAAAGAAGCTTGCCAGAATAATACAAAGATCTCTGGTCTACCTTTTACCAAGATTGGCAGGTATTCAATATTTTGTCAAATTTTATGTTTGTGAATGCATGCGTGTGTGCATGCATCAGTGCATGTGTGCGTCTGCGCGCGGTGCATTTCTCTGTGATTCTAAATTGTTTCCAAGCAGGCAGCACAGGCTGCATCTGTCAACATCGCTCTTGCATGTGTCCTCAGAACAGGCTAGTCCTTTACACCCCACACAAGCAATATGAACCCCAGGAAATCCAAAATTGATTACAGCAACCCCACATTACTGTGAGTGGCCCTGATCTCTTCACCAAACATTCTTTTCAAATAATACTCTATATTTATTCTTTAAGCATCTTATACTTATTCATCTCCCCTGCTCCTCCTGCTATCTCCTCCCAGGACTACCTCACGTGTTCCCCTCCCAACTTTATGTCTTTTTTTTTTTCCTAACTCACCTAGTCCAATTAAGGTCACCCACATGCCCATGAGAGTGGGGCCGAGCACTAGAACACGGCAACCTACCAAAGCCACACCTCCAAGGAAAAATGATCTGCCCTCCCCTGCAGCCATCAACTACCAACTGCTTCTCAGGGGCGGGACCCCCTAAGTCCCTTCCACGCTCATACTGGAATTCGGACCAGCCCGATCTAGCCTGATCCAGCCCCATCCTGTGCAGGCCACTGGCAGGCAATCGCAGCTGTCGGGAGCTCCTGAGAACCACAGCCCTGTGTCCAGCCGAGAGCACCTGGCATCTGTCCTTCCCATCCCCCAGCTCTTACAGTCCTTCCGCCTCCACATCCTTAATGTTCTCTGAGTCCTGGGGAGCTGAGGGTGCTGGAAAAGCTGTCCAGTCTATGGCTGAATACCCAACAGTCAGTTATTCTTAGCTCTTTGACCCCTTAGGAGTCTCCACATAAACTCTGCCCATTGCAAAAACCAAGCTTGTATGACTAAACTCCAAAGCAGCGAGACCTACAAGTGCCAACACAAATACTTAGAAGCCAACCTAATGACACAACCACGATCTAAGCTCTCCCCACCCGTGGACTTTTTGACCATGTTTACAGCACCAGACACAAATTCCCTCCTGTGGTGCAGGCCCCCAATCCAGTCAGAAAGTGCTAGGTACCCCATACCAGTAACACCTCTGTTGTACCGAAGTCACATCTTACCTGGCAGGTTGGCACTGCTGCTTGTGGAGTCTGCGGGTGGGTGAGACCACTGATGACATTTTCTCCCCAGCAAATGTCGTAGCATCCTCTGGCACTGTGCAAGCTACCCAGCAAGGAGGGCTTGCTGGTCAATTCCAGAGTGGTCCCTCTGTGTCTCGCAGCCAGAGTCATCTTCACTAAGCAGTTCCACTGCTTGGCTGAGGTCTGTCCACACGAAGGGGCAGAGCTCCTCAGCCACTCTTCTGACTAGAACAACCTTGTCCTCCAGTCTTGCTCTTTGGAATCTGCTATGAGTCTGGTAGTGACTGGGTTTCTTAATGGACACCTCAGGTGAGTAGATACCCCGCTCTCCAACTGTGGTCTCTACCTACCAGGTTCCACATATCTTTACCCTGAGAACTCCTGAGAACTATCCTGCTGCTTCAGCCACCTCCTCGCTGTCCACTGCATCCTCCAATCTTGCCATCCTGGAACAGCCCTGGCAGACTGTGGCGGCATCAAGCAGGGCCCATGCAGCTTCTCCAGTGTGTCTTCCCCATCACTGACATTCAGATAGGCTCAGAGCACAGAGCTTCTAGGAAGGGTCCCACCAGCTTCTCCTCTCTTCTCTTTGCTGTCTCTGGGCAGGGAATAGTTAACAATTGCCAGCCAAGTTCCTGTCCACAGACTCTGTTGGAGTCTCCCTTTCTTTGTCAGGGGAAATTTACACTACTAAATCAAGCCCCAACTCCTGAGAGTGCGAGAAACCAAGCAGGAGGGAAGTGGTCCCTAGACAAGGAGGGATCACAGTCTCTGAAGCAAGCGTCTCATGCACATCTGTAGCCCCAGCCCTGATTGTTCAGGATGCTCCTGGAGGCCCCTGGGTGAGGTCAGTGGGTGATACAGCCTTCCACAGCCTGTGAAAGTGACTTGATGACCCTGCCCTGTCTGTCTCCCCTGCTTAATCTGTTGCTTACCACAATCATAAAAATCCTTGTAGAGGACAGAACCCCAAATTCTCGGGCCCCACATCTGTACCCCATGTAGCAGGCGCTCACAAGTCATCGGTGGCTATGCAGCCAAGGATGTGGCAGAGGACATTCAGCTGGCCTGGGTACAGCAACAAGGATGTAACTCCCCACCTGGCTGGCCTCAGCCGAGACACCAAGTTCCAAAACTCCCTTACAGGACAGAGGTGTCCCACACTTTGAGAATTGCTCAGAAGCTCCTGGGCAGAAGGAGGAGACAATTCCAGCATGAGTCAGAAGCTGGCAAGGATGTCATAGAAACCATCCATTCCAAAGAGAGTCACAGAAGACGAGGTCTCCAAAGCCCCTTCAGACCCCTAAGTACACGTGTTCTCCTGTGATTGCTGCAGGTGGCTCGAAGCTACAGGACAGATGATGAATAGACCCTCATGCGTTATTAACAACACTTGCAATGGATGGTAAAAATGGTAATTAAAACTCAGGGAGAAGCCTGGAATCGCAATGGTCATTGTTATTGGGATAGTGAGTTAGAAAATGGTATCAATAAATAGGGAATGACTCCATTGCAGGCGTGGATGGTTTGAGAGACAGCTCTCAACCCTGGGTATTTAGGTCACTAATCAGAACAGATGATGATCTTAAAGTTCTCTCACCCTGCTAACGGCCAGCAGCAATTCCTGGACAGCTGGGCAGACAGAGCTAAGGGGCTAACTGCAGGCTGGGAAGGCCCGGTGCTGTGGTTTATTTGCCATACACACACACACACAACCCCCCCCCCACACACACACACATGTTCATGTGCTTGAAGACTCTGTTCCCCAGACGGTGGCGCTGAGCCTAGAAAGAGAAGTGGGTCACTGGATGTGGGCCTTGAAGTGCTTTAAACTGGTCCCACTGACCATGCAGCGTCTGCTCACTGACTGTGGATGCAGTTCAGAAAACTGACTTCTCCACCATGATGGATGTAAGCCAAAATAGACCCTCCCTCTCTTGATTGGCCTCTGAGATGGGCAATGGACAACACCAGCCTGCGTCAGAAGCCAGGCACTCAGACTGCTAAGAGGAACAATTGCTGCTTGCAGAGCAGGGGTTCCCTCTGACAGCTTCCCAGAGCTGGCCCATATCCTTGCTGGTCAGCCCGCTTCCCGAGTCCCTGCTGCCTTGACTTCTCCAAGGCGTGGCTCAGATAAGGCACAAGGAGAGACCAGAGTGGGGAATCCACCAGAGTTCAGTTTGGGGAACCAGTGAGTCTCCTGGACTTCCTTACAGAGCATGTCTGAGTCACTACACTCAGAGGAGTTTGGGTGACCGCCACGCTGCCTCCCAATAACATCCCACCCTACCAAGGCCGACCTCATAAAAGCTTCATCATAGAGACCCCCTTTCATCTGCTAGCCTCAATCCTGTATACTCTGGCTTAGCACAGACCCCGTGAGCTAGAGAGAGGGAAGCAGAAACAGTGTGGGAGCCCAGACAACTCGGGTGGCCCTCTCCTCCCTCCCCGTCTGGGAGTATCAATAAACAGCTTCGCTGCTGTTGCCATTACTATAGACCTCGTTACCTCACCGCTGCTCTTGTTTAATTAGTTGCCATGGCTACAGGAACACGGTACTCTCTACACCAAGATGGCAGTGGTGGGAACCCGTTTTCCTGAGCTTGTTGGAGGGACATATTATAAATGTCACCACCACACATCCCACAAGTGAAGACACTGAGGCACACCACACGGGAGTTGCCTCTAGAGGGTAGAATCAGAGTTCCCAAGACTCTAAGCTTCTGTGTCTGCCCAGATGACAGGGATCAGAGCAGACAGCCCACGTGGGTAAAAGTTTGCGTGTGAAATGGAGTGTCGCCACAGAAGAGAAATCACACGTCCAGCCACTGAAGAAGGACTTGTGTATTCAGGGGAACAGACCTATGTTGAAACTTCAAGGTTAATCATGGACTACAGAAAGGCTCCCATGTCAACACGCTTGGCTCATGGCTTTCTGCACGGTTGTAGCGGCTGTGGGTTGACGGTTGCTGTTTTAAATGTCACACAGTAGACACGTTTGGAAGTGGGACTCTAAAGCAATACATTTGTGCTTCTCCCCTCCGCAGCCCTTTCCATCCGAGAAGTGGGGCGTGGCCTTACACATTGCCTTCTAATGAACTTGCACTGTATTTGGGGATATTTTCAGCACACTAAACTTTTTATAGCAATGAACATGCAAAGTATCTCCAAAGACTTACAAACTGAATTAGCTTCCAATACAGAGTCAAGTTATATTTCTTTCTGACCCAGTTTATCGCTTTAAAAAGTCAAAAAACATCAAAGGCGTTTCCCCTCTCTCTTTGTTCTCTGTTCTTTTTTATAATTCAACCATTTTTGACACCTCATGTCCTTGGAGCTAATCAAGGTCGATGGGTAAGCACCTGTGAGGTAGCCTGACCCAGCACTCCAGTCTTACTAGGTTTATCGCTTTCTTGTTTATTTTTGACTGACATATAATTGCACATATTTATGGGGAACTGCGATGTTTTGATACACATGTGCATTGTGTAATGATGAAATTGTAGGGTTCGACACACTATAAACATTTGTCATTTCTCTGTGATGAAAACATTGCCAGCTATTGTCTGTGTGGTGCCGTAAAGCGGTGGTGAAGGCAGAGCTGAAGCTCATACAGCTTTCGCAGAGAACTGGGCTGAGTTCCCAGCACGTGGCGGCTTAAACCAACCAGGTTCCATTCCAGGCTCTTTTAGCCTCCATGGGCAACAGGTGTGTACACATACTCACACACATAAAATAAATCTTCTTTAAAATTAAATCAAAAGGCTAACCTCCTGACATGGTGACATTATGCTAAGCCTAGGGGACGCCATATTTTGTGACCTCATCCAGGAGCAGGAAGATGCAAGGCTTGTCATCTCACCCATCAGCTTCTCCAGACAGTCTCTCTCTCCTCTCTCTCTCTCTCTCTCTCTCTCTCTCTCTCTCTCTCTCTCTCTCTCTCTCTCTCTCTCTCTCTCTCTCTCTCTCTCTCTCTCTCTCTCTCTCTCTCTCTCACACACACACACACACACACACACACACAGAGACAGAGATAGACATACACACAGAGAGAGAGAGAGAGAGAGAGAGAGAGAGAGAGAGAGAGAGAAGCAGCAGCAACATCCTACAGTCCTTCCTAATCACGGCTGATTGCAGGGTAACAACATTCAGGTTTCGGTTGAGAAGACCCAAGGCTTTGAAATCCTTAATACAAGAATTGAGAGCCACATTCCGACACTCATCAGCCATTCTTCCAGAATGGAAATTTCCTGCTAGGAACAGACTCCCCCTGAGAGCCCCAGGTCCTGGAGGGGCTCCTGCCAACACCAACCCCCAGCCAAAGACTATGATACTCAAGCCGTAGCCAAAGCCACAGAAAATACAAGGAGAAATGTACAGAGGTTTCCAGAGAGAAAAATGCATTTGAGGAGGATAATGGGAAGAGAAGAATCTTTTATAAAGATGTTCCAATTAGTAAAATAAAAGCTTACTCAGGATTTGAGAGGGAACACAGAGAAGATGGTATTTTTTAGTAATTGAAGTCAAATAACCAAAGGGGATTTCCCCAAGGGACCCAAGGTTGTGGCTGGAACTACACCCCAGGAGGGCTGCATAGATGTCCCTGTGCTGCAGGGAAAAGCCTTCACTGTGGCAGCAAAAAGACCCCAATAATCCCCAGAGGCTGTGTTAAAACCGGACATAGCCAGTG